TTAGAAGTGAAATACTCATGGGAAATAGATAATATCTACCATATCCATCTGTTGGCCTTGAATACAACTTTTCAGAGGGAATACGCTTAACGTTTGAATTAGACCTATTAATATATTGATGATATTGCATTCAAATCCATGCTTCACCTCTCGAGAGCACTGTCAGACTGCGAACCTGGTTCGTATACCTGAGAGTTGACGTGGCAGTTGCGGGCTACCATGTGTCCACACGATAGCAAACTAGCAGAGAGTAGCTGTCCATCAGTAAATTCAAACTATCTGACAGTTACTCTCAGAGCCATGTCCACTTGATAGCAGCGCTGTCAACAGCAATTTAATCTCAAGTGGAAATGGGCCTTAAGGTTGTGACAAGGTTTTAAGGAAGCATAGAACACACAGCTGTTCTTGAGATAATTAAGTAGGCCAAGAAAACTATAAAAATAAAATGTAAGTTTGAGTTAAGAATGTAAGCTAGGAACTATTGCAGATAAATAGGGAGAACAGATAAATAGGGAGAACATCATAAACAACTGCTAAACGTACAGGTGAGAGAGGAAGACCTATTTTTTTTATGTGATGGATTGAATAGTATCATAGCAAAAGTGAAAAAAATAAGTAAGGGAAGAGGAAATAAGACTGAGTATTGCATAAAGTAAATTAAAATAAGGTAAGCCACAAATGACCTGGTTATAGTTTCAGTTCCACTCCCTTACTTCTTAACCCTTATATGTCATGGATTGATTTTGGTCTTCATTTCAACATTTTATGCTTCCTTTCCATCTCTTGAAACTCAGTCAACTGCACCATAAGCAGATGGACATTAACCCCTTGAGTGTGATGAATTACGGTAACTCCCTAAGTATGATAAACGTTCATCTTACAGCATGATAATGATGACAGGATTTTATTTATTTTTTATACGGAAGTGTCTCCAAATTAAAAAAAATGGAAGCCAATATCTTCTCTGATTAATTACAAGTAAATCTATGCTAAATTACATCCTGTACACAGAATTAAATCCAACAATAAATGGCTATATAGGGGAAATGAGTAGCTTTTATTTGATGAGAAGACGTTTTATATAAGGCAAACTGCTAGCTTATGTTGAAATGCCAAAATAACCACTTTCTAAAAAATTAAAAAAAGTACAGAAATAATGTTATATCTAAAAAGCCCTATACAACCACAGCCTGGAATGGACTACTGGATAATTATGGTACACTAAAGTACAGTAACTGGTAGATATTTCCATTGATATCTCATATTGATGAAACAGCTTACTCTCTCCCTCTGCAAATAAAAAAAAAATTACAGTTCCGTACTGTATAAATACAAAATAACAATAATAAATAATGCAGTCTCCTGCACAGTACAGTATAAGAGGGTGAGGAAGCTCAGAATACTGTTTACATCGTGGGGAGAATAACATCTCTCAGAAAATATAATCAGTTTGGGAATAGGATTTGCACCCTGGTCATGAAAGGCATTAAGAAATCATTTTTTGTGTGTAAGCTAACATTAAAATTTTACTTTTTCTGTTACTGTATTTACTTATACATTCATGCACTAATTACACAACTGACAATGAGAGAAAAAAGTGTGGGGAGCAGCAGAGAGCATGATAATTTTACCTTTTAGCATATAACTGATGTTATATAAGGGCTACAATACTATAAATAGGGAGAAAAATTACAGTACTGTATGGTTTCATTGGTCCCCAGACCCTAACCCCTATTTTCCTTTCATTGTACTGCAGTTAATGGATTAACACCATATTCAAGGGATTAAGACACTACCGTATATTCAAGGGATCAAGCCATTGTACTAACAAGGTTGTCATCCTACTCAAGTTGTCTTACAAACTGTTATAATTCACTGTAATCAAAGGTTTAACATCATACTCAAGGGAGGTTAAACTCTTTGCACATCTTTATCCTACATTGTAGTTTAGAGAAGATTTCAACTCAATCTCACCTTTTAATCCAATCTGGAAATGTAATAAAAAATGTGAATAGAGTGCTAAGCCTTATGATAAATACCCTTCATTGCGTGTAGTTAAGGGGAACTAAAAAGTTCTGAGGACCTCATGGACAATGCACCACTTGTTCGAAGATAAAATATTAGCTGACTGATAAGTAACTTGATAGATAATAGTGGTCACATGTAACTGTTGGTAAAACAATGGTGGCAAAAGCATTGGTCTTCAGCTGAATTGGTGAGGATTGTATGGTGTGCATGGAACAAGTAGGATGAGGGGGCAGTCAGTAATGATTGGTATTCATTGAACTATTGTAATTAATCCTCTCAAGTCTTTTGATGCAAATTCATTTTTCAGCATGCCCATGCTGATAGGACCCCTCCCACTGAGCCATATTTCACACTGTGAGCAACTTTCCCATAAGCAGAAATGCAGGAATAGTTCACCGGCTCTATCAACCACTTAAGGTCCTCCCACTAGCCTCATGGGTTGGCAGAAGCATCTCTTAAGGGTGCAATTTGGGTCTGAATCACTATACTCAATGTTTACTAAAATGGAAAAACTGTTCCTGTTACTGATGTAACCTGTATCAAAAGACTGTGAGTGGGTGAGATTTCCAACCATGGCCAGGAGTACCAGAGCCTTTAAAAGCTGAAAATGGCTTATTCCTTCCAAAGTTTGATCAGTATTTTACACAGTTAACAAATGTATTTCTATCTAATACTGTTTTTTTCCATATTTAAGAAAGGCACATGTAAGCAATCTTATCCATTTAATTTTTAATATTAATCCAAACTATATTGCTGGATTCATTTGCTAAGGGTTTTTGCATTTTGATTTACATAACAGTATTTACAAACACTACTGCTACTTTGCTGTCACTCGGAATCGAGTATGATGATCATCCAGCTATGATACAATGGTATGAGTTATTAAAGATGTCTCATAAGTTGGCGAGTTCTGAGGTGACTAAAGAGGCCGATATGGGACCAACACGGTCGTTCACAGATGTTGCACACGTGGGGTCTACATCTAGTGCAGGAGGGGCTGCAGCAGCGTCTTTCCGGCGTTGGTGCTTGTCTGCCTCGGTTTACTGTCGGGCTAACTCGAAAGTATTGACACCTTCCCGTATGGTGATCCTCCAAGTGTTACGGTGTGGAGTAATCATCTCCCAGGCGAGGGTGTCGATTTGGCTCTTTTTCAGGTTTATCTTAAGACTATCCTTAAACCTTTTCAGTTGCATACCAGCGGTACATTTATTATTCGTTAGGTGAGTGTAAAGTAACTGCTTTGGCAGTCTACAGTCGTCCATGTGGGTAACATGGCCAGTCCAACGTAGTTGTTTATGGATAATGGTAGCCTCGATGCTCCTACAGTTGGTGTCAGCGAAAATACTGGTATTTGTTCTCTTGTCTTCCCAGCGAACTCGGAGGATGGAACATAAACTACGTTGGTGAAAGTTTTCAAGTGCCTTGAGGTGCCTCCTGTATGTGACCCATGTCTCGCTGTCATATAGCAGGCTGGGGAGGACCACTGCTCGATATATATGTAACTTTGTAGATAATTTTGTCCCCCTACACCTGAAGACACGGGTACAGAGTCTACCAAAGGCTTGAGATGCACATCTGATCTGATGTTCAATCTCTTCATCGATGTTTGCAGTGGCGGACAGGTGGGAGCCTTGATACCGAAAGTGGGTAACATTAGAGAGGGTAGTACCATTAAGCTGGATGGATGGCGGAGGTGTGCCTGAACCTGGAGAAGGCTGAAAGAGAGTCTGACTTTAATGTACATTCGCCTCAAGGCTGAAGAGTGCATCCGTATCTGCGTACGTGTTCAGGATCTCCTGTAGGTCGCGTTCAGTGTGAGTGACAAGGGTGAGGTCATCTGCATACTGAAGTTCGGTAATGAAAGATGGTGACACCTTTGTTCTTGCCTGGAGTTGTCTTATGTTGAAAAGACCCTTCATCTGGTACTCGATGTCCACCCCGCTCGCTAAATTGGCACTGGCACGAGTAAGGAGGGCGGCCAAGAAAATGGAAAAGAGAGTTGGTACTAGTATACACCCTCGTTTAACCCCCGTTTGAGTGGGGAAGAACTCAGACTGGGTGTCATTGTGTAGGACACTGCTGTTTATGTCATCGCGGAGTTGCCTCACAATGGTAATGAATTTTGGTGGGCAGCCAAAAAGGCAGAGGGTCCACCAGAGGGCTTCGCAGTTGACCGATTCGAAGGCCTTGGTCAATGAAAGCCATGTACAAGTCACGACGCTCTTTTCTCTGTGGTGCCACGTTAATTTTACCGCCACACCTCCCCGTTAAGTACAGAACTGCGGTGTCCCTCAGAACTCATTTAGTTTAAAACTTGGGTCGAAACACGACGACCCTCTTCATGGGAAGATGTTGCTTAATAATACGGCCGTTAGTGTTAAAACCTCTAATGGAGGCTTGCTGCCTTCGCCGTTTTGGGGCGATGTGAAGTGATTGCCTGGTGACAATGATGTAGTCAATGAGATGCCAGTATTTGGATCGTGGGTGTTGCCACGAACCCTTGAACTTGTTGGCCTGCCTAAACAAGGTATTGGCAACAGTGAGGTTGTGTGCAGCACACTTGCTGAGGATCTTTAATTACATTAGAAGGGAGAGACACTTCAATGACTGCAGGTTGTTTGAGCTGCACATTATGCAGTAGTAAGAAACATTAAGTCTCTTCCAGGAATTTTTTCACTGCAAACTGGTAACAGCTGGTGCATTTTTAGTTCAATTTATATAGCTTTTCTGTAGTGAACACGACAAAATTTTCCTTTGCACAATGTAAATATCCCACCTTGTCATGCTGCTATAACAATATTATACAAATGAGTGGGTAATGGGAGTCAGGGTAGGAAAGTAGCCATGTCAAGTATGAAAAGCAGGTGGGACACTTAACTCCTGGTTGCTCACAATCTTAGAAAATAATACCTATGACAATACAGAGGATTGCTTTAAGTAACATGAATAAAGGACTAGATCAAAATACTATAAACTAATAAATGTACAGTTTTATTTGATCTATTACAAATGTTAGAAAAACTACTTACATAATACTATAAACACAAACTAAAAGCTACAACCACAATCAGGACATTAATTTTTCCTTCATACCTTTAATTACACAAACTATTTAGTTTTAAATTAGACTTACAATCAATAACACTGAATAACAGCATGTTCATTATTCCTAGTCTTTAAGAACACACCTTAACCTAATTCTCACTTTGACTTGCCTTTCATACATGTTGGGCTTCTTTGCCACTGGTGAATAAAATAACATTAATTACAGTACCAAACAATCTACACATTATCAATTTTCCAGAGAAGAATTTTGCGGTCTGAACCTACAGCTAAATACGGCAGATTTTGGTGCCAGCTCATACCTCCAATAACCTGTAAAGGGAGAAAGGTGTATTACAGTACAGTATATGCATTAGCCTCAAGACATTATTAAATCTGTACTTACTCACCTCCCATTCCCCTTCCTTTCCCTTTCTCTCCTTTTCCTTCCTCTTCTCTATCCCTTCTTTCCTTCCCCTTCATTCACCTTCTCCTTCATTCCCTCTCACTTCCCTCAAAATATTACACAATTAGATAATTAGAGATAATTAACTGGTATTGCAAGACATATAAAAAGAATGAATCATATGTCATAGCCCTATAAAAAAAAGCCATGCCCGAGCATATTCATGAAAGAATGTACATAAGAGAATACAGTTTAACAAAGCCTTGATGTCACAATAATGAACAAATACCTTAAGATGCACTGCAATGGGAATTTTATTTGAGTGCAGGTGAGTCACTCTGACTGTATGAGGAGCAGCTTGTGTAGCAACCAGACCAGGTGTTGAACGGCACACCTTTAGTGCCAAGATTCTCTCCACACCACCAACTTCTACTGCCTCGCTGTGTGGCCTGTGGGGTATACATAATATTAAAAAAATAATTAGACAAAAAAATCTAACTTGTGTGTAGTTTTATGGAATCTATTGAAAAATAAGAACAAAAGTTTGTACCTAATTTTCACAAAAAGAAGTGGTGTTATTTTCTAGTGATGTGATGCCTCCTCCATGGTGTCAATTGGTGTGTGGGGAAGGATGTGCTTTTGATGTTTTGTCATCAAGTTGCTTATGAATTTGGGAAGGAGTCTGGTTACTGTTGTTATGTTTCATTATACAGTACAGTATAGTCTTCATTTACGCGGTCAATTGAACCCGTGGAGGTCCGCGTAAAACAAAAAACGCGTAAACAAAATAACAGAACATATGAGATTAATTGAAATAGAGACTGGGCCGACCCCCAAACTACACTTTTTCCGACACAATACGCACGTTGTAGTAAAAATTACATCTTAATTAATATTTATGAGATATATCAATAATATTAGGTTTTTTAACACTTAAGTTAGTAGAAAAGATGGCTGGGCACACGGGGATGGGGAGTTGGTTCCGAGGCAGAGGGCAGATTATTGGCCCTCACCTGTATCACTTGTATTAATTGTATTACTATCCACCACAGAGGCTTGCAGGGCCTCTTTGTCAAACCCCTCAAAGTCCATATCCTCACTATCAATGACTTGGGCCGGCTGTGGTGGGTGAAGAACTCGGTAATGTTTTGTTGACTGCGCGACCTTGTGCGCACCCTGCTGGCGCCGCTTCCCGCATAAATGATGGAATGAACCATGTAAATAAAAATTGTCGGTCTGGCAAGGTGCCGTGTAAATGACCAAACGAGTAAGCCAAATCCGCGTAAATCGAGACTATACTGTAGTGCTACTGTATAATTATATTATATGTGTTGCAAAACACTGTGCAGAGGATCCAAGGAGCATTCCTGCCATGGTGTGGTTGTTGTATTGTGTACACATGTCCCAGAAATTTACAGGATTCTGTAGAATTTGTGCTTTTTGGTCAATCTAACCCAAACATTATGTCTTTAAAAATGCACAGCAAATGGCAATGTAGTGCCTGGCCCCAGCACAAAGAGCACCATGAATACAATTACTGTACTTTGGTTACCAAATTGGAGTTTTTTTAGGCAGTTTGATGCTGGTGAGTGAGCTGTTCATACTTAATTTGATGCATTCACTAGAGCCAAGAAAACTAGCAGACTCCATAATCAATTAATGGAGTATATGGAACATCTTATCTCAGTATGGACTGAAGACCAGAACCAGTGTAGTAGAGTTTACAGTACCTCTCACCTTGGCAGTGACAAAAGCTAAGGCATGATAAAAACAAAACAAAAAAAACATCATCACCTCAACTACCTTTTCACATACTTCAATAAAGTGAACATTTTCCAAGGAGCCTAACCCACCTTATTTACATTAATTCATATGAGAAAAAAATCATTCACATAGTGTTGTTTTGCTTAGAGTCGTACTTTTCAGGAACAGACATAAGCAGGAAATTGGTACAGAGCTTTTCCGGGGATGAGAGATTTACGGGTAATGAGATAACTGTCCCAAACCTGGAAAAATCCCACAACCCCGAGAATTTTTTCGGGTACTGAGAAAAGTTTTTCAGAATTTCCCGGATATTGCGCATTACTTCACCCTCAGAATTTGCTTCCAGACCTGCCAAAAAATTGGAGTGAGTTTCCGAAATTATCTAAGAAATTTTCAGAATTACTCATTATTTTAGCCTTGGAATTTGCTCCCAGGCCTGCAGAAATTTTTTTGGAAGTTTCCAGAAGCTTTCTCAGAATTTTTAAGAAAATGTACTGGATTTTCAACCTCAGAATTTGCTCTCAAACCCAGAAAATTGGGGGGGGAGATTTCCAGAATTTATCAGAAAATGCACCATGTTTTCAACCCCAGAAATTCGTTCACAGACCTGGAATTAAAAGAATTTTTCTGGAAAAAATCCGAGTCAATTTCAATTTTGGGTATTGGTGAGTTCCAGCTAACAAAGATATTACTTATCATTAAAGACATTGTTAAAAGTACTGTACAGTACAGTCTTCAACTTTTGAAAATTGAATAAATACCAAACTTGTGAATTACTGTAGTATGTTACTTTGACTTAACACTCAAATGGTGAGTAAGAATTCCATAATTCGCCCCCATATATCCCAAAACTGGACCGTAAGGAACATGAAACGTCAGTTGATATTGGCCATCGTCCCTACAATTAACACCAATTGATGATGGCGACTGTCTGAGGGTTAAAAGTAACTTGAATGAAGCAAACCTAACTAATTATGATCATCCTCACTACAACAGGAATTCTTGTACTCTGTCAAAAGGAAGAGCACAGAACTGAGGCCTGTCACCTTTCTTCTGATGAGAAAGACGGATGGCTATTATCCCCTGCCATTACTATAGTTTGATCACTGGTACCTTTGATAAGACAAAATTAAAAGCAAACAAGCTGTCACTACTGTATTTCATGTTGCAAGAATATAATGATAACAACAACAAATTAAGTTATAGTACTTACTGCAGAGATGCAACATTCCAAACAGTAAGTCCCTTTGCTCCAGCAGCCACGATAAGAGCAGGGTCAGGGATGGACCAGTCAGCACACAGGAGAGGACCAGGGCACCGCAAGAACAGCGTTGAGCAGCCACTGGTCACTGAATAAACCCTCAACACACCTTTCTTCTCAGCCACCAAGAGTAAGTCTGGATCTTGAGGATGAAAACACACAACCATACCTAAGGAATAAAACATCATACCATGAGCTTGGGATATGGAATATAGCTTTAAGGATTCACATAAAAAATATAGCTTATTTTTCTTAAAGTTATTAAGATAAGAACCCACGGTATACATATGGATGAATGTATGGACACACTGGATGAACAAAAACCATTTTCAAACTTCTTGTTATTTGTAGGAGGATAAAAAAATACTAAAGTGCAGTACAGGCAATAACCATTATATGATGGATCATTATACACTCAGTTTTACCATGTTAAAAAAAACTCCATTTACTGCTATGCGATGGATAAAGATCAGTTTCGATGTTCACTACCCAAATGCTTTAACGCTTAATTTTCACTAATGAAAAAGTGATATGCAATAACTTGCAAAGTCGAGATAAGATGACGTCTCGGAATGACATAACACATATGACCCACGGGATCGTGAGTTCTGTCCGCACCGGTGATTTGCTAGGCTATAGGATAAGCAGTTGAATGTGTCATATCATCCAGATGATGGTTTGCATGTGGAAGAAGCTATTCTTTGTCCATAAAATAATATAATATACACTGCACCAGTAAATGCGAAAAATAAATAAATAAATAATAATAATAATAATAATAATAATAATAACAACAACAACAATAAAAATACTGCATTGCCATTTGGCAATTTGTCACTAGCACAAGACAGCTGGCGCGAGAATGCCACTCCCCGCTCACTTGTGCTGGTTCCCTTACTACCTAATAAATGTTTAATCCTGTTATGGTTTTGATCTTATGATAATTATTTGCACATTCTGTATGACGATTGCAGTACAAGTAACAGAGTAAAGAATATTGAAGAAAATTACATCTACCCAAAATGACGAGTTGAAAACAACAATAAAGCGGCTACCCATCCTCTGGGCGACGTTACACAGTTCTGTTGATTAGTTGGCCAGTCACCTCGTAACTCGAGATCGGGAGGATGGGATGAATTGGCGGAGTCAAAACCACGAAGTTACAACTCACTAACTCCACCCATGCTCTTCAATTTTTTTTATTTTTAGTTCTATATTATACAGTGGTCCTCGTTAATGAAATTACCTGCTCCACAGTTCGTTAACCGAATCCATTGTTTCAATGGGATAATGGGTGAATGGTTCCAGCTCACAGAAAAGCACATACAAGAAAAAAAATGCAGTAAAGTACACTTACCTTGAGGTGTATGTAGAAGGTTCCTGGTTGATGATGATGCAGGAATTAGAAGTGGGGGTGGAGGAGAAATTAGGACCCATGCTTGTTGCAGTAATTTCACCAATAAAATTTTAAGTTCACTAGATGTAATTCAAGATTATTTTATTTAAATCAACACTGCGCTATATATTATCAATATGTTAACTAAATTTCAGAATGACCAATAATTTTAATGTAAAAATGCAAAAATATTCAAGACACCAACAAAATCGATGTTCACCCTGTAAACAAAGCCAAACTGACGCCCAGGGTGAGTCAAGCGGCTGATGGGTGCACAAAAACTAGTTCCTGTACTGCATATATTATCAATATGTTCATGAAATTTTTGAATGACTAATAATTTTAATATAAAAATGCAAAAATATTAAAGACACCCTTCTTGATATTTACTCCACTGGAAATGAATGTAAACATAGAACAGATTACTGAATTGGCATACTAGCCCATCAGCTGATGCTCACAACAAAAAGTGTGTCAAGGATTTATTAATTGAAGTTTTGTTCAGTAACCGAATTGAAGATCCTTATGGGGATAATGTTAAACGAAATTTCGTTAATCGAACATTCCGTAACCGAGGACCACTGTATTTATTTTATTTCTAAGTCACATTAAAGTAATGTAATGATGAATGAAAACATGCTTAGCTAGCGAGAAATGGTGGGTGGGTTGGCTCACACGGAGTCGCATGATTATGGATACACATACAGTACTGTACTGTACTCTGAGGCCCCACGTACTGTATCTGTAATCATACTATATCATAAAATATCAATGAATGTGTTTAAAAATTTTAATTTTCATTCATAAAGTATATTTGTATTACTTTTTTGGAAAAATCTCTTAGGAATGCATCTCAAATTATATAATGTAAGTCAATGGGAAAATGAGGGTCACGTTATGGTAACATTTTCAAGGACTCATCTTCTGTAAACCGGGGATTACTGTACTGTATAATTCATTAAACAGTTTTATTTCTCCCTTTGTGCCAGTAGCTAGGTATGTGTTGATACAGATTACTGGATATTTTCCCACGCATAATGATGATAGTACATATTTTGTATTACTGTACACATTTGAATATACTAGTATAAATCAATATAAATTACAGTACAGTATAGTCTCGACTACGGATTTGGTTTACGCGCACAAGGTCGACAGTCAACAAAACACATTGAGTTCTTCACCCACAGCCAGCCCAAGTCATAGATAGTGAGGATATGGATTTTGAGGATTTGACAAAGAGGCTCTGCAAGCCTCTGTTGGATAGTACAGGTGAGCCAATTATCTGCCCTCAACCTCAGAACCAACCCCAATCCCCATGTACTCAGCCATCTCTTCTACTAAGTAAGTGTTAAAACCTATATTATTGATATTTCTCCTAAATATTAATTGTGTGCATACCATCATAATTAAGATGTTATTTTTACTACAACGTACTATTGTGTCGAAAAAGTGTAGTTTGGGGTCGGCCCAGTTTCTATTTCAATTAATCCCATATGTTTTGTTATTTCGCTACGCGACCTCTATGGGTTCAATTGACAGCGTAAATGAAGACTATACTGTACTTACCATGCCAGATAATACTGCCACATGCAGTTACCACCAACACAAAACAACACATGGAGGAACTTCACCTCAATGATATCATATGCTATTAACATATTTTCATTTTTGTCTAGTAGTTCATTTAAACAGTGATCCTTATCTTTTACTAGAAATACCCTTTGTTTCTATCTTATGCTATTAACCATAAGGAAAAATGATTTTTTTTCACTCGCATTAATGTTTTGTAATTGTATTAAGGAGTAACAACCTCAAGTATGTACAAGTGTACAACTGAAAAATACTTTTCAGCAATCTACTTATCATAAAAATATTCACACAAGGGACTAACAACAGTAAAATGTTTGATCCATACAACTTACAATGAGTTAAATAAGAGGAATCATCACTTATGACCTGTTACATCCCACTGTCACTATCATTGTCTGTCAAACATCTAGTATAAAGGGTTGACTTACCAGGAGAAGTTAGAAGAAATCTTAATCTGTGTCTGTGAGGAACTCTCCCACACACACGCGGTGAGGTCATCTCTGTAGATGCCACTAAAGAGCCTGTGTCACCATTATACGTCACACTATTTACAAAGTCACTGTGACTAAGTATGTCCTGTAACATAGAAAAATACTAAACATCCAGTTTATAGATGGTATTCACATAATTGGTCAGGTAACCCCAAAAAGACACCAGCATGAAAGGATGGGTTGTGTTAATACCAGCCAATCTGAACCATATCACTTGGGATATTTATCAAAATATTCCACATTCTTCAGCTTAAATCACTATGTAATTTCAAATAATGGCATGTACATATCCTAAATTAATACAATAGTCATAGTACTATATTAGTTAGGTAGCAGGCAGCTACCAAACAGGGAAGTACTAATGCCTGGGAAGATATTGAAGCATAATATGTTATCTAATGGTAGACCCCATGCCATATGGCATTACAAAAATTATGACCAAGTCCTAGGTTGCTGATCTAACTTTCTGCCTCATATACACAATTGCAGGATCTCAATTGTTTCTCTTACTATTGACAACACAACATACATATAACGCTTCTATTGACCTTTTTTTTATGAGCGTTATTATTATTATCATTATATCTTCGTCGAGGCCCTGATGAGTATTGACCGTGCCCAGGTGGGCTAATCCCCGTTAAAAGAAAAAAAGTTATTATCGTTATTTCCAATCCTCTGTTAGTCTAGCATATGTACACATACACTTCTCCTTATCACTTGTTTACCATTCCTTCCGAAACTTACTCATTATTTTCTCTAATCAAATGTTGGAATTCAAATTATCAAAGGAGAGAGCAAAGGTTTCACTTGATCACCGGTTAACTAAACATGTAGAACATTTCAGCAGGTGCTTCCAACATTTCCTGAAGTCTCTTAGTTGTCAAGCAGTCACAATGCTTTGAGATGTGGATTCAAATAAGTGCTTCCAATTTTCAGTCATATTTCCAAGTTGTAAACAGTAAATATCAAGTGTTAATCATAGAGGCAAAGAAACCTACCATCAGCCATGACAATAAAATTCAAATTCTTTCAAATGTGTACAAAGACTTTATATGTTAAAATCGAGTATCACATTTAATTGCCTGAAGTCACTAAGCAGTGCCCTGGTAAAATACTTACAGACATCCTCCAGGCTTAACTCTGGTTATGAAAATTCGCACAAACGGAATTAGGAAATTATGACCAATATATTCGGGATAATGCCAAAAAATTCGCCCTTACGGAATTAAGGTAAATTTTAAGTTTACAAACAAAAATCATGGTATAGAAAAAAAATTTGTTTAGTGTGGACTTCTTGGTGGTTGCTATAATACGGTGGAGGATGACCGATACCACGCAACAATACCAGCTTGATTTCAAAGCCCAGCTTGTTCGGTTTTTAGGCCTGTGTTCGACTGTGTAATACCCTTATTCAAGGTGAGTGAAAAAGAGGCCATCAACTTAAAGTGAAAGCTGAAGTGCTAAAAGATCCTGTAAAGGAATTTCATTGAACATTAAACTTGATGTTTTAATGAGGTAACTCCCAGTAACTCCGACACACCACCTCACAGCACTCAACATCGCTTGAGGCTAATTACATTCAAGTGTTGAGTGCATTTATTATCATGTTACAGCATGAAGTAATCAATGTATGTGTTAAAAAATTATATTCAGTCATATGCATGCTTGTAATACATTTTGCCCAAATAT